AATAGCTCTGAATTTTTCTAAGCCTTGTCCATGCCAAAGCTGTTGAGTTGGACAAGGCAGCCTACAAAGCAGGAAATGAAATGGAGTCTGAATTAATTTTATTTCATCAGCTGCAGCAGATGTTCAGGTGTACTGATGCAAAGATGTTTAAAGGTTGTTTATCACAGAAGCTTATCACAGAAGCCTACTACCTGCAACAGCAGTTAAAAGTGGTAAAATATGTCTAAGTAACAAGGAAAAGATCCAAAGGAAGAGAGTAACTAAATCATTCTCTCTTGATTGGCGAGACATGACTGCCATCCTTCACTTTATCTCAACTTATTTTAGTCTTATTTTACTCTTTGACCCTAGCCACTGGGAGAGGGGAACATATTTCTTTCTATTTGCTCACTTCAATATACAACCACAAAAATATCTGTAAAAAACAATGAAAAGTACAAGATTTTTGTACAGACATTAGTTAATAAAAATTATACTGTTATGATATTAGTAAAAATAGGAGTAGTTTGACTCCAGATATTACCATATTCACTATATTCTAGTACAGCCACCAAAACACAGCAAACATATTTATTATACATAGTGTTACGATACTTAAAATTATAGGTAAGGCATGCATAAATTGCTTCCATGGTAAATAAAATTAAAGCATTTGTATATTTCTTCTTTCATGCTCAGAAGATTTTTATCCTCTAAAATATTCCACACTTTACACTGAGAAAATTCAGATCTGAAAAAAAGCTAAATTTATTGACCTAAGGAAAACCAAAAGAAAAGTAGTCTTATTCTTTTAGTTTATTTTCCTACTATAAAATTATTTACAGCAAATTTTGCTATCCGGTCCACCTGGAACAAGTAAATGCTACTGGGAGTTCAGCATATTCAGGAACAATAGAGTGTCTGTCAAAATTGCCTATGCAGACCTCAGAGAAGGATGCTGACCACAGACAGTAACTGCAAAGCTTTCCTGGTTGGTTATTTTTATTGCTACTCAGTACACTACAAAATATCATGTCAGAAAAGACAGTTTGGGCCATTCAGCCTATCCTCTGCACTCTGAACTTCTCCCTACATCATTATATCACCTTGTTATTTAACCTCTTTAGTTTCCCCACCAGTGTTGCAGCTGCCCCAGCTATCTCTTGACTTCTTCCTTAGTGCGCAGCATTCTCTGCAACCCTACAGCACTTCAGCCACAGGAAGGGGCAGCATGTGTCCCTTGCCACATACCTATGAGCCTTTAAGCCCCACTCAGGGGTATATTCAAAGTGAAAATGATACAGATCTCTGCTACTGGCCTCTACAGTTGGATACCATCATGCCCTGAGAGGTGATGCGCATTCCCTCTTGTCCTTCATCTTCTGTCCACGCATGTGCTTTTCCTCCATATTCTCACAAGCTGAACAGAACAGCTGCCTATTGCAAGTCAATCTACACATTTTTCCATTCACTAGCTTTAGATCATAGAGGAACAAACATGCTGCCCCAGCTGGGAGGTTTAATGTTCAGTACATTGCTCACACGTTTGTATGGGAGCTGTGCACAACTGAAAATGCAGTTCCCTTTCAGTATTTGTTTTCCCAGGTGAAGTGACTAAGTATCAGTACATGGAAACATTTAAATATTTTTAGAGATATTTTAAATACCTGTCAAGTTTTATTTTTTGTTTATTCTCTACAGGTAAAACCAGAGGAACTGAGCTAGCTAAAGTTATGGAAGAAAAATGCAGAAAAGAATACCGCACATTTTTTAAAACAAACTGAACACTTACACGCCTCGAAAAAGTTTTACTTGCCCTCAAATAGAATGAATTTGCAATTTGGTAATATTTAATGATTGCTCTCTAATGCAAAACAGATGTGGAACAGACTTCTGGAAGTTGTCTGGTAAATGTCCAAGCAAGGTCGATGATACCCAATGTTTCGAATATCGAAAGGTTGCCGTGTCCAATATCCTCTTTGTAAACAGTCCCACTGCTTAAGAAGGCTAATTCAAGATTTTTTTACTGATGTAGAGGCAGAAATCCCCTTCCTACCGTTTGAAAGCCACCACCTTTCTTCTTTATACTAACATGCATGGAGACCCATAATTCCTTTTTTCTTTGTAGCCTCCTTTGCATACTTAAGGAGTGTTACCACATCACATCACCATCTCTTCTCAGCTTTCTAAACTCCTCCCTCACAGGCCACATTTTCTGTTCACGTTGCTCTATCCTTGACTTACTGCATTTATCCACATCAATTCACACCTTCAGTATTTTTCAGGCAATGTATCCAATTTGCCAGTTATTCTGAATTCTAAATACTGTCCACCAGAGTTCTTCCAGCTGCTTCTAGTTTACCATCTGCATGTGAAAGAAATATACCCTTTAATAACTAAGATATAATAATAACAATCTTTAAATACCCTTTAAATTAATGGAGGTAGTGAGCAACACTGGAAAATCAGTTTGAAACATCATTTCAGATATTTTCTCACCTTGACCAGGAACTTTTTGATGTATTTTGTGACACAGCTGCCCAGTCCCTTTTTCCATGTCATGGTAATTTCATCAAGACAATTTTGCCTAAGGTTTTCTAGGAGAACAGGGTATGACAGACAGACAGCCGGCATACAGTTGGGTTTTTTTTATTCTATCTGGAAAGCCTACTGTTCTTCATAGAAACAAATTTAGTTGCTGTGACATTATTTTTTTTCACAAATGTACTCTGGCTGTTATTTGTCATTTAGCTATTCTCCAAGCTTTTTGATTATTTCTTCTGCAACCATTCTAGACATTAAAGTTGAGCTGACTAGTCTGTAATTTCCTTTTTTACTACGGCTAAAGACAGGTAATATGTTTGCCCTTTCTGGAATGTCATCCTTTCTGAATAAATTTACAGAATAATAGTTAATGGCTCTGACATTGCTTCTGTTTGTTCTTGAAGAACTCTTGAAGAAGTTTTAAGTTGATTCAGTGTGAAGACACTAACCTATCCAAACACTCCGACATATTCTTTCACCAGTCTGCTGTTCTGGGCGTCCTGTCGCTGGTGTTAATGGTATTAACCATCTGATCGACACACACTCAGTGTGATGGCCACAACAGGCTGTATGCCAAACTCTTTCCACCTTTTTAGCATGATCTGCAATTAGGTGTTTGGGGGAAGGGGGGGAGGTATTATTTATTCATCTTCTTCTTACTATCAGTGTACTGATAAAGTGTATTCTTGTTATATTTTACACCCCTGACACTTGTGTCTCAGTTCTTGCTTTCTTGGTGCTGTGCACATAGGGTCCTCTCATCCTCAATACCAGACTGTCAGTTCAACATTTTGTTCAGGCCCAACAAGCACTCATGATCTAGTGAAGTTTTTTCATATCCATCCTTTGGACAGACATTGCACACATTTCTTCCTTTTCTGAGGCTGCTAACTCTCCCAAAATCTTTTTCCTTGACCTTCCTTCTGCAGAAAGGTTATGACTTGGCATTTTAAAGTCTGTCCACTGTCTTTATTCTTTTGTTGCTTCTCCATTCTTTCCAAAGAATCATGCCTTTCATCTTTAAATTTCCTTTTAATTTTTCCCTGTTATTCATCATCAAGAATAAATAGTTTTAATTACTTTCTTTTACTTTCCAGTCTCAAGAAATTGCTTTCAGCATATTGTAAGAGCTTTTCATATGGTTTGGTTGTACCTACAACTCATCTGATTGGTAGTTTCTGGTACTCCTATAGCCTTTGAAATTGTTACTCATTTTCTTGAGGGCAGTCAGGAATGCCTTTTTAGCTGATTTTTGCCAGTGCTCTTCAGGCCCAGGATTTCCTCTCTGAGGATACCCACCACCTGATACTATTGCAAGAACATGTGCAGTATGAGAAATTCCTGTGTCTAAAAAGAAGGATGAAAGATACTTCAAGTTGTCTTCAAGGACTATGGGCTGTATCACCCCAAAGCTGATGCTGCTTCAAAACAAATACGGGCTGTCACCCAGGCTGGAAGCCTCTCCTGCATAGCAAAGTAGAAGCAGCTTGCTTATCCAGTGGGCTCCTTCCCCAAGAGATATGCAACTCTTTTTGGAGAAATGTTAGTTTTAATAAAACAAACTTTTGCTTTACCTCATCAAAATTTTCATCACAGTTGACACTCATAAGGACAATTGCTTTATTCTCTCCTCCTTTTACAGAGTGTTTATATCTCTGTTTCCTCTTTCATTATATATTCTTAACTGTAGACCAATATATTTTTCTCATTTTATAAGCTCAAACTTCTTGAGCCAGCTAAACTCCTGAATATCAATATTTCAGTCATGTGAGCTATCCCCTAAAGCCTCTGCTATGCCAATTAGATAATAATTTTAATTATGTGTCTGCTCTTTCTAGAGACACCTTATTGAGCATGTGCACCAATAAAGCCTTCTATTCAGTTTTCCCATATTTTAGCTTCTCTATTTTTATTCAATGTTTGCATTACCCTTGCCTGGATACCAAATTGTACACCATGCACTCATTGGTCTGTTCTAGCCTATTAAATGTCCCTGAATGAGAAAACTACACTGTAAATTAATAAAAAATACATTTTAAATTGCAGGTAGCAGTTATGATACATTGTTAAGATACGTCAGCCCAATAGGCTTTTTGTTATTTGCTATAAACAGAGCATAGGCTCACATAGGAAAAACAGAATTTTGCTTATGCAAAATGAGCAGCTGAAGGTCTGCTTTAATACAGCAGTACTCAAAGTGTTAAATTCAGTTTCCTGAACAGAAAGACGCGCTGTTGAGAGTGTGGGGGAAAGCTGATGCTCAGTTTGTTATATTTCCTACTGGCTCCCACAGTGCTAAATCAATTTACACCAGTTCATGTTCTCTTCCTAGGTCATGACTGCCTTCTTTGTATCTCATTCGCAGGCAGTCAGAAATAATAATTTTAAGATATAATGTGTTCTTTAGCCAGAAATCTCTTCTGTGTCCACTAGTGCCTGAAGAAAAGATTATGTTGCAGGACATGACACAGTTGTAATTCCATTTCACTTCTTTTTGTTTAATTTTTGACAAGCAGTGGTTCCTGATAAAGGAATCCTCTGTGCACATTTTCCCTTTAGATTTTAGCTGTAAGATTTTCACTTGAAATAAACCAACATTATACCGAGGAAAATCTGTAAGTGGTAGCTACAAATGAAACACAGAAAATGAGACTAAGTGTACAAAATACCTAGAGGCAAACTCTGCTTTCAGTTCTGCTCAGTGAGGTTGGACTAGTACACTAAAAAAAAGAAAAGACTTACAACCTCAGGACATGGAACAAAAGAAGGGTTATGTTAAATTGAAAAAGCTAAACAAAAAGATGAAGGGTTTGATGTTTTCGAAATAGTATCTGCAGTGTTACTGAAGCCATTGGGGTTGTAGGGGTGTTACTAAGAACAGTGCAAATCAACAGTAATGTGTTACATAGGCTGCACTGCCAATATTTGTTACATGAAAATACACATTCAAGATACTTTTAGTTGTGTGTCCTGTTCACTAATTCCAACCACATCATATTAGAGGTCTCCTGTGATTCAGCCTAACAACTTTATCTTGCTCTTCTAATTCTTTGTCTTAAGACATTGTGCAAATTATAATTACCCAGATTTTCATACAGCAGCATAATCTTCTTAGTTGATTCTCCACAGGGATGATTTATTCAGCCTGCTTTCCCAGCTCTTGATATAATGTAGGCAGTAACCTTTTTCCACTTCTCTTCCACTGAAAGAAAAAATGTTTTTGTTAACAAGAGGCACCAAGGTTGACGCTGATCATTGAAAAATCCTTCTAAAGAATGCTTATGATTTATTCAATTTTAAGATTCAGCATACAGGTAAGGTATACAAATTGTGCTATTTAATACTGAGCAGTACTTTTTAGAAGGCTCTCTAATCTGTACAGTTATTAAGTGTAATGGGATTTACTCCAACAGAGTCTAACACTAGGAAGGAAATTACATGTGGTAAATCCTATTGTAACTAAAGAGATGGGTTGAATTTCCTTGTTTATTTTTAAATCTGCCTTTGGCAGGACACAAATTTTCAGGTGTTTGGAGTTTTTTCCCTTGACTGTCAATTTGATCACTTGAAAGGAGGGTGAAGGTTGAACACTTCCCTTTGAATTGGGCAAACAAGACTCTCATGAAGTTTAACAAAGAGAAACGCAAAGTCCTGCGCTTGGGCAGGCACAACCCCAGGAACCAGTACATGCTCGGGCCAACCAGCTAGGAAGGGTTTTGCAGAAAAGGATCTGGAGCCCCAGCAGACACAAAGGTGAACATCAAGCAGCACTGTACCTTTGTGGCAAAGGAGGCCAACAGCATCTGGGACTTCATTAGGAGAAGCACTGCCAGCAGACCAAGGGAAGTGATCCTTCCCCTCTGCTCAGCACTGATGAAACACATCTAGAGCACTGGGTACAACTCTGAGCTCCCCAGTGCTAAAAAGACATAGACATACTGGAATGAGTCCATCCAGGGCTTAGAGCACCTGAAAAACATGAGAAGCTGACAGAACTGGGACTGTTCAGCCTTGAGAAGGCTCAGGAAGATCCTGTCCATGTGTATAAATTCCTGATTGGGGCAGCAAACAACATGGAGCCCAGATCCTCCACAGAGGTGCCAAGGACAAGAGACAATGGACACAAACAGAAATAGAGGAAATTCCATTTAAGCATAGAAAAACTTTTACTGTGAGAGTGGTCAAACACTGGAAAAGGTTGTGCACACTCCATAGTCAGATCTACTCAAAACCAAACTGAAACATGTTCCTGAGAAACCTGCTGTAGATGACCCTGCGATAAGCAGGGTGTTGGACTAGGCCATCTCCAGAAGCGTCTTCCAGCCTCAGTGATTCTGTAACCCTGTGAAGTCATCCATTAATTGACTGCAAACCTAATATGCATTAACCTAATAGAATCTCACTCCATACCACTAGTTTTAAGCACAGGAAGGAAATCAGATTCTGTCTTTCCTACCCCTTTCCTGGATGGGTAGGAAAATGGTTTCTTCTTGGTGTCCATCCAAAGACAGGAAACACAAAACCTTACATCAATAGAAAGTGACACCTACTTAGGCAGCTTGTGGTCCTAGGCACCAAAGAAAATAAAATGTAACATGAGACATACAGGTGGAAGAGAACTGGGAAGGAATTCGGGGGGTAGGGGATTTACACACTAGAAAGGGTGCAGGTTTTCGATAGTGAATGCAGTTCACATTTTCCAATTTGACAGTCTTCTGTCAGTCTTTTGTCTTACAAGGTAATTCTTAGTTTCAGGTAAATGTACCTATATTTTAGGTATACGTACAAAATACATTGAAATGTACAGACATGCAACCACATCCTCTGCAGTTTAGTTTTGGAAAAATAGAGATGGCACCAGCTGTGTTACTGCAGACAAGGCTTAGTGCAATGTATACAACTTGTGTTTTAGTTCATATTGCACAGACTGAAATTCTAAGGCATTATACTTAAAAATAAAATTCTCCATGACTTCAAAGTGAGGGCAATTGCGTGTTTCCTACATTGTGTGCATGCCTACAACACCAATCCATTCTAATTACAGACTATCTTTTGTAGATATAATGATACCAGTAAGGCTATGTCCTCCTATTCATCAGATTTTGATCTGTGTACTTATTGTTTCAGTATTTGGCCAGGATGGGTTGGCTGATGCAAGATTAAATCTGTATGATTTCAAATGTTGTTTCTAATAGGGGTTTTTAGACAATTGTCACAAGTAACTTTTATTTATCCTTTGCACACTATTACATACAATAGCATGCCTGTAGCTTAATTTATAATACAACATAAAATATAGCCTTTATATGGAAATCTTGAAACTTCAAAAAATTTCATATGTAAATATTAAATCAAATAAAACATTGTTCATAGATTATACTTGATATCTGGTATGGCTTCCTCAAACAATTTTTGGAGAATAAATAAATGGAAAATGCAACATATACATGAATAATGGATATAAACAACTTTAGAATAAACTGATTTTGCAAAGAAACCACAAGACAGTTGGAGTAGAAATTGTTATTTGTAACAGTAACAGAGTATCAAGAGGAAAAAAATGGGTTTTGGTTCCACTAACAATACAACTAGAGACAAAATACCACATATTCACCTCTTCAGGACATTTGCTTCTGTGTTTCTGACAGCTTCTCTCGAGTCCCTGCAAGTTGAGAGGACTCAGACAAGTTGGGCTCTTTCTTCTTCTTTTAGCGGAGGCTCTTGTTGAGTTGAGCACCTGGCAACTTGCTCCCCAGGAGGCATGGGGCACAGTCTCTGCCTCATAGCACAGCTCACTGTGGACCTCCACTGGGAGTAGGAGTGCCCACCCTTCTTGACACCAGGCCGTTTCAGCAGACCAGAATTTATGTTTGGTAAATATCAATACATCCTGGTGAGCTGTGATGAGAGAAACTCCATGTGTGGCTTTCAGGGGTAGCAATTACTCCCCTGAGGTTTCACTTGTCCGTTTCAGGACAAGGTATCCAACTGAGTGACCTCTGCTGACCCTTGAGTCAGGATTACTTTAAAGCTTTATTCTGCTGCTGATCATGTCACTTTGCCCCACTCTTAAATTATTGAAAACACATAGGTCAACCTTAACATAAAGCTCTAATGTCAGTTTCACAGCAGTAGGCCTTCTATAGAGGTTTAAAAAGGGAGATCTTGCTCTATTCTTAGTATGTAGTAGAAAGAAGAAAGAATAAATAGAGAAAAAAATACGGTAAAGGAGGCAAGACAAGCCAAAATCAAATAGACATAATTAGTATAAAGAAAAGAAAAAAACTGTGCTGAACTATGACTTCCTCTCCAGACAGCTGTTCCACCCTGCATTACTAGATCCTGCACAGGAATGATAAAACCAAATAAGCCTGTCAGCATCTTCACACTCTGGTATGTTTTAAGGTACCTACTTAATAGCAAAGGCATTCTGCACCAAGCATTATAACCTCCTGTTGCAAAGGGAATGAATTCTCTCTAATTGTTTTTTCCATGCCTAATTATCACATTCTGTGTGTCTGTGACCCATTAAAGAATAATAACCCTGGAGAGGAAACTGCTATAAATGCACGACAGAATGTGTATATACATATATACAGTTCAAACACCCACATGTATAAAGATGCATTATTTTTTTACAGTATATATTATGCAACAGGATGCCAATACTGCCAATAAGAACACTAGTGTTTTGCAAATGCTATTTATTTGCCTTTTAAATTGGAAACAGAGCGACAATGGAATTTATTGGTACCACTTAAACGTCAATCCTCAATGAGGTACTTATATTTTCCAAAATTAGAGCTAACACCTGCAGTTTGGAATATTAATTCCTGCTCTGTAAAGAAAAATCACTGAATTAAAGATTGTGTTGCTGCTATTTAGAAATTCATTTCAAAAGATAATGTATGGAAAGCACAATGTAAAGAGAGCAGGGTGAAGCAAGAAGCAGCATTCCCTATGGCACTACTCTGTTCTAATTCTGTTGTCAGTATGGCACATCAAGTTTTCCCTGCATTTTCTGTATGCAGCTCCCCAGTGATTATCTACCTGGCTTTGGCTAATTGTAACGTTAGTGGAATGGAGTTCTTTAATTTGTGTATGGAAGTTGAAGATTAATTAAAAATAGTTTTTAAGCAATGACTCATTTCTGAGTGGGCCTTGTGGTGAGTGGGCTCTGTGAAAGGAGAGGGTGTCATTATCTCTGAAACAATCATCTTATCATCCTGAGACTCTGAATACCAACATGCCTGGGCAGAGCCAGAATGGCTGGTGAGCCCAGTGGTTTAATTCCTCTTCCTGCACCAGAAATATGACTCGTGAGTACAGCAGGAACTTTTCCTCTTTTGCAATAATACCACCATAATTTTGAGTGACAAGTGGAAACAATAATACTGCTACAAATCTCTCTGGGTTATTTAATGGCACTAATCAGAAAATAGCATTCGATGGCTGTTGCATTCCTAAAGTGGTTTTTGCCATTTATCCCGGGAGCAGCTGTCATTACCTCTTGTTAGCAGAAAGCCTACACAAATTGGGTCTTTAGGGAAGCCAAGGTCATGCTCAGTCTGATCTCTCTTCTGGCAGTGCCAGTGTTGTGCTTACGTGTGCTGAGCACACCCTACTCTTACCTCTTCCCTTAAGTATACCACTAAACACCCAGCTTCACTGTACAGAAAAGCTTTTTAGTAGGTAAGTATTATCAAAGGGCCAGATGCTTTGCACCTACTTTCTGCATGGGTCTGTTCCCATGCATTGGACCTGCGCACAGGCTGCTTGCAAGTTTTCCTTGCATTGCTCACACAACAGCAGGAGGCAACGACAACTGGTGAAATGTAACAACTTCAAGCAAGCAAACAAGGCATCAGTAGAAATCTTACACTGCACAAGACAATGTGCCTACATTTGTATTTTGCATAGTTTTAGCAAAGTAGAGGACCCCCTTATGTGATCTTAGCATTTTAAATACGAGTAGGGGCATATTTAACAAATGAAACATTTAATAGGTTCATGAAAAAACATGGGAATTTGCTGTGAGCCAGACCGAAACACTTTACAATAATCTTTATGGATCTTTTTATATATGCTGTTCTTTAGGTACAGTTCAAGATTTATCTCCAGTTTACTTTTAAATCCTTTATTTTAAGGGAGGCAAGTGACCTCCCTAGGGTAAAAAGAAGAAAATCCCATCTGC